CACTGCGCGGGCCCGTGGGGCGGGTGGCCGACACCTGTGCGGGCCCGTGGGGGCGGGGTGGCCGACACCTGGTGCGGGGCCCGTGGGGCGGGTGGCCGGACACCTGCGCGGGCCCGTGGGGCGGGGTGGCCGACACCTGGTGCGGGCCCGGGGCGGGTGGCCGGACACTCGGTGCGGGGCCCGGGTGGGGCTGGTGGCCGGACACCTGCGCGGGCCTCGCGGGGGCGGGTGGCCGGACACCTGGTGCGGGCCCGGGGCGGGTGGCCGGACACCTGGTGCGGGCCCTGGGGCGGGTGGCCGGACACCTGCGCGGGCCCGTGGGGGGGCGGGTGGCCGGACACCTGCGCGGCCCGTGGGGGCGGGTGGCCGGACACCTGGTGCGGGCCCGGGGGAGCGGGTGGCCGGACACCTGGTGCGGGCCCGTGGGGCGGGGTGGCCGACACCTGGTGCGGGCCCGTAGCGGGTGGCCGGACACCTGGTGCGGGGCCCGTGGGGGCGGGGTGGCCGGCAGTCATTGCTGCCTCTTTCTAGGCTGCTCAGGAGAGCCCTGGTCTCCACCTCTGTCAAGTGGGGTGGGACCGCCCACCTCTGCGGGTGAGAGAGCCAGGCCCCGGGTAGGCACAGAGCCCATGCTGGTGGTCCCCCTCTCGATGCCTGCCGCAGGCTCTGCTTTTGACTCTGTTCTCCTCACCTGTGCCCCACGCTTGCCACCCCAGCTGTGTGGGTTCCACTTGTGGTGCTCTGGGGTCTGGGGAGAAGAGGCACTGTGGTGGCCCTTGACCCCTCCCAGCCTCCCTCCAGAGCAGAGTGAGGAGGAGCTGGCAGTGTCTGGCCTACATCTTCCCATGTAGACAGGAGCCCTCCCAGGAGGCCTGGAGGCAGAGGGTGCCATGGTCCACAGGGAGCTGTGGGAAGGCAGGAGCCCTTCTGCTGCACCCCAGGCACCATCAGGGAGGACCCTGGTGACCTGGGCGAGAGCTGGGCCTGAGTTGGGATCTTTGAAGGGGAGGGGAGCGAGAGCAGGGATGTACTCTGCTGGTGGGGAGCCTCAGGTCAGGTCCCAGAGGACCCAGGGGAGATCACGAACACAGGGCTGGCCAGTTGTCAGGGGAGAGCCGAAGGAGCTGCAGCTTTATGGCACAGCCTAGCTGCAGTAGCCTGGGGGCAGGGAGCCCTTCCTGGCTGAAGGGAGGTGTGGGATTGTTGGAGTGCTGCTCTCACACAGAAGCACGGCCTGTTCTGGGGGTTGGAAGGCTGGAGCACCACCATGAAGGGCCTGCAGGTGGGTGGAGGCAGAGGGCTTCTGGGAGTGTGACTGGCCTGGGCCAGACAGATGCCTGGTGCTCCTGCCCCCACCCCCCCGGCTCTGGTGTGCCTCCTGCCATTGGCACCACTGTCTTCTTTGTCCTTCCCTGAGTCCTGGGCCGAAGCACAGTTGACAGGACCCGACCAGGGGCAGGACCCTGTCCTCACCTCACCACCTTTTTTCAGTCCGCCAGTTCCTTCGGAGTGGGGTCAGCCCTGACTTGGCTAACGAGGACGGCCTGACAGCCCTGCATCAGGTCAGCCCGCGCTGGGGGTGGGTGGGGTGGGGGCTGGCCCCCGTGCTCTGGCCGCTCACGTGGCACGGTTTGCAGTGCTGCATTGATGATTTCCGAGAGATGGTGCAGCAACTCCTGGAGGCTGGGGCCAACATCAATGCCTGCGACAGTGAGTGCTGGACGCCTCTGCATGCTGCGGCCACCTGTGGCCACCTGCACCTGGTGGAGCTGCTCATCGCCAGGTAGGGCCTGCTGGGCGTCCGTGGCAGGGAGGGGCTTCCTCTCAGATGGCCGCTCAGGAGGCCCCTCTTGGGCAGTAGACCCGGCTCTCAGCCTCTTGTGTTCCCACCTTCACCTTTGCTGACCCTGCCTGTGTCCTGGCATGGAGAGCAGAGCCTGGGGCCCCAGGGGGATGGGCATGTGCCCAGGGCAGCTTGGTCTCTGCCTCCCCAGCATGCATCCTCCTGCCGAGAGGGCGGTCTCGGGCTCCCCCAGGGTGTGCACAGAGAAATGTCTTGGTCAGTGAGGACAGAACTGGTAAGGAGAGAAGGGGAGTGAGGAGGCCAAGTGGCTTGGGAGGAGAGGGTACCTGAGCACAGGTAGGGCTTTTACCTTTAACATAGAGGGACATAGAGCAGGAGGAGCTCTGAGCAGGGAGGGTGGTGGCCTCACCAGGGTCCACGAGCCTCCTCCCTTCTTTCCCCTTCGCTCTAGGCATCTGTAGCTGGAGAGAGGTCAGGGCTGCAGTCAGTCTCGAGTGCCCCCGTGAGGCCAGATGGGGTGTGGATGGCGGTCCCATCACACTCAGGCGCTGCAGGGTGGGCAGGGAGGTGGGGTGTCCACAGGTAGGCCTGTTCCTCCTCTGCACACAGGCACACCCCCTTCTGTGTCCTGGGCTCCCCTTTGCCGACCTCCTTCCCCGGGGCTATGCTCCCCACAGCTCATTGGCCCCTCAGCATGGCTGCCTGGTCCTGCGACCCCACTGCCCTGTGCTCCCTGGGGTCCCCAGGGTCCCTGCTCCCCCAGCAGGCAGACCCATCTAGTGCATGTTTATGGGGGCACCACTGCCCCTGGAGGTGCCAGGAACCTGGAGCCCGGATGGGTAGAGACTGCAGGAGGCCTGTCTGGCTGAACCACAGGATCTAGGACTGAGGGGCAGCCAATGGGCCCCGAGGCCGCCTCTCCCAGCAGCAGGTGGACAGGGTGCCTCCTGAGGGGCAGCCCTGGGCTGAGGGGCCCTGGGGGGGACCTCTCCAAGTGAGAAGCTTGGCAAGTGGGGAAGGGCCCTGTGTCCAGCACCGCATCCGTCTTCCCTGCAGTGGCGCCAATCTCCTGGCAGTCAACACCGACGGGAACATGCCCTATGACTTGTGTGACGATGAGCAGACGTTGGACTGCCTGGAGACTGCCATGGCCGACCGTGGTAGGTGCGGCGGTGCGGCTGTGGGAGGGCTGCCGGTGGCGCTCCCTCTGAGCCTGCCGCCTCGCAGGCATCACCCAGGACAGCATCGAGGCCGCCCGGGCCGTGCCAGAATTGCGCATGCTGGACGACATCCGGAGCCGGCTGCAGGTCGGGGCAGACCTCCATGCCCCGCTGGACCACGGGGCCACGCTGGTGAGGGCTGGGGGGTGAGGGACATGCGGGGCTGGGGGCCTTGCTCCTTGGAGGTGGGGGATGGGGCCGAATTCAGGCCGGGCGCTTGCCTGCAGCTGCACATCGCAGCCGCCAACGGGTTCAGCGAGGCGGCTGCCCTGCTGCTGGAACACCGAGCCAGCCTGAGCGCTAAGGACCAAGATGGCTGGGAGCCGCTGCACGCCGCAGCCTACTGGGGCCAGGTGAGTGCGGGCAGGAGCAGGTGGGAGGGGGCTTCCAGCGCAGCCGTCTGCAGCTCCTGCCTGCCGCCCACAGGTGCCCCTAGTGGAGCTGCTCGTGGCGCATGGGGCCGATCTGAACGCAAAGTCCCTGATGGACGAGACGCCCCTTGGTGAGCTTGCGGGCCCACCTCCACCGGGGGGAGAGGACAGGCGAGGAGGGTGCCCCTGACGCCTGCACCCACTTTTCAGATGTGTGTGGGGACGAGGAGGTGCGGGCCAAGCTGCTGGAGCTGAAGCACAAGCACGACGCCCTCCTGCGCGCCCAGGGCCGCCAGCGCTCCCTGCTGCGCCGCCGCACCTCCAGCGCCGGCAGCCGCGGGTGAGCGCCGCCCCCAGCAGGCTCCGCCCCTGGCTTGGCCCCGCGGATGTCAGCCCCGGGCGGAGTGCCAGCCGAACTGGGGGCAGAGTACGAGGGGGCGGGCGGGGTCCTCCCGGCACTCCCCTTCCCCTCACTCTCCCTCTTCTCTCTCCTCCCCAGGAAGGTGGTGAGGCGGGCGAGCCTAACCCAGCGCACCGACCTGTACCGCAAGCAGCACGCCCAGGAGGCCATCGTGTGGCAACAGCCGCCGCCCCCCAGCCCGGAGCCGCCCGAGGACAGCGATGACTGCCAGACAGACGCAGAGCTCAGGCCACCGCCCCCGGAGGTGAGCGTCCCGTCCCTGCTCCGCCCAGCGCAGGGGTGGGCCTGCCTTTGCCCTGGTTCTCTCTCTGCTTGGACCCCCTCTTGCCTGTTAGGAATGGTGCCTTGTAGAGGCCAGCTGCTGCCCCATCTCTCCTGTCCGTCCCTTCGTGACCATACAGCCTAAACCCAAGGCTGGGGAGGGGGGAGGAGGCTCCTGATGGCCTCTGGGACCTTCACTGCCCGCAGGAGGACAACCCCGAAGTGGTCAGGCCGCACAATGGCCGAGTAGGGGGCTCCCCAGCGCGGCATCTGTACTCCAAGCGACTGGACCGGAGTGTCTCATACCAGCTGAGCTCCCTGGACAGCACCGCCTCCCACATGCTGGTCCATGACAAGGCCCACCACACCCTGGCTGACCTGAAGCGCCAGCGAGCTGCCGCCAAGCTGCAGCGACCCCCACCTGAGGGGCCCGAGAGCCCTGAGACAGCGGGGCCTGGCCTGCCTGGTCACATGGAGACCCTCCATCCTGACTGTGGCTTCAGGGCAGGCGGGGACCCACCCCTGCTCAAGCTCACGGCCCCGGCGGTGGAGGCTCCTGTGGAGAGGAGGCCGTGCTGCCTGCTCATGTGAGGCGGTTCCTCGGCGGGCAGGGTTCCTGTCCCTGGGCACAGCCCAAGGCTGCCTCCCCACGGTGCGTGCCCTGGTGCTGCGGGTGGGCAGCACAGAAACCCCAGCTTTGACTGTGCAGGACACTGGCCCCTCTCAGGGCAGAAGACATGCCTGGAGGGACATCTGACTGCAAAGACTATTTTTATCTTGCAACTCTTGATAAAGGCTGTTTGCCATGGAGTCTGCTTGTGTGTTGTGTGTCTCAGCTGGCTGGCTGCCCCGCGGTGGGGAGTGGGTTGTGCCGTTTGGTCGGGGTGCCACCCATGCCTGTGAGCACACAAGCCTGTAGGTGCACGGGCATGTGGCAGCCCTGGCCGTGTGGGAGTAAGGCCCACGGCCACTGGGCTGGAAGCCTGGGCCTCACCCACTCCCTCCCGTGCTCAGCCTCCTGGAGCCGCCTCTGTAACCCTTTGCTTTCCTGAGAGGAGCCAGGTGCTTTGAAGGAACCTCCAATGGGGGCCAGCGTCTAGGGTGTCTGTGCTGAGGAGGTGGAGGGTGGGGGTCCCAGGGACCATGGCCTGGAAAGGGAAGTGGTGTTTTCCACAAGACTCTTGTGCCAGAGCCACAGGGGCAAAACAAGCACAAGACTGTGTCAGAACCTCCCTGGGGGGGGGGGGTTGTGGGTCCCCAGTTCCTGGCATGCAGCCCCAATCCTGGGGCCTGGCTGCCAGCTTCTGCCTGGGCTGGCATAGGGGACACACAGTTGGCCATTCTGGCTCTGAGCTGGCTGGGCACAAGGTGTCAGGGTGAGGGGGTCCCTTAGGGGCCTCAAGCAGGAGGGCTGAGGGCACTGCCGGTTTGTCTGTTCATGGTGGGCAGCTTTGTGTGGCCACCAGTGCTGGGTGGTGTGGGTTTGGTATGTTCTCTCCTGGCTCAGCACGGGCCTGTCAGCCCAGTGTCCTTTGGGCCTGCCCTTCCCCTAGCATCCCTGGTTGGAAGGGTGTTCTTGCAGGGCTACAGGCAGGCGGGGACTGGCTGCTGGTTAAATTTAGTGTGGGGGGTGGGGCAGCTGCCCAAGGTCCACCTGCCACCAGGGCTGCCACTTGGGCTCTGCTGCCAGGGGGCGGGCAGGGGCTGGCTCTGCCTGGGGCCAGGCCCATATTAACCTGTGCCCCTGTCTCAGGGCCAGAGGGGCAGGCCTGCGCACTGGGAGGCCGTTGTGGCAGCGGAGCAGAGAAGTGCAAGGTGAGAGGCCTGGGGGCCGGCTGTCCTGACCCCTGTAGGGTCAGGTTTCGTGGTGGCTGCTGGGGTGGGCCAGCACTGAGCCTGGCCTTTGGGCTCGGCAGGCCTGTGGAGGTGGGTCTCTGACGACCTATCCTGGCTCATTTCCTACTCTCTTCTCCAATCGGGAACAAGAAGGCCAGAGAACTCAGGTCACCCCTAGCCTGGGGTGTGTCCCAAGGGCAACCCCCAGCTGGTGCCTGGTGAAAGGGCAGCCACGGTGTGAGCTGTCCCAGGGCCCAGGGCTGGACTGCCTGGCTCCAGTCCCCTCCCCCAGCCCCTCGCAGTGCTCATCAGGGACCAAGGTCCAGCTACAGAGCTCTCGCAGCCTCTGGGCCATAGGTGCCAGCCCTGGAGAAGCCAGATGGAACCCAGAGCCTGAATACCCCTCCCCTCCCCCCAGCACCCCCTGGATTCCTGAAGCCTGGCTCAGTTACTAAGGAGACAGGTCCGCTGGCCCAAGCAAAGATGCAGGTGCCACGAGGCCTAGGCCTTGGCCAAGCCCTGCTGGGGTAAATCCCAGCAGCCCAGGCTCCAGTCTCACCTCGGGGGTCCCTCCTTTCCAGCTCTGCCAGCCCCTCAGGGCTGCTGGGCACTCCCTTCACCTCCTGAACACCCTAGGCGCTCAGCCCCCAGCCCCACATCTAGTCCCTCAGAGCTGTCCGGACCGGGACTGACGTCTGTACCTACCCCCCATGTGGGTCTCCTGCTCTCCCTTCATGGGGACACTGGGCCTTGCCCCAAGCCCCGCCTGCTGCCTCACCCACTGCCTCTGCCTCCCTGGAGCAGAGCTGTTCCCAGACGGGGGGGCGGGGCCCAACTGTCCCCAGCTCCTTCAGCCCTTTCTGTCTCTCCCAGTGGGGCCAGCTGCGGTGAAGAGGGTGCCCTCTTGCCTGGCGTCCCCTCTGCTACGGCTGCCTCCTCCCAGCCGTGGCCCACTGAGCCAGACCCAGCTGTCCCCACTCCCACTTCTGGTCCTGCCACCTCCTGAGCCGCTTTCCCACCTGGTCTGGGTAGAGTCATGGCCTCAAGCACAGGTGACCAGAGCCAGGCGGTGAGGAACGGACTGAGGACGAAGGTGCTGACGCTGCACAGCATGAATCCGCGTGTGCGGCGAGTGGAGTACGCAGTGCGTGGCCCCATAGTGCAGCGAGCCTTGGAGCTGGAGCAGGAGCTGCGCCAGGTATGGCCCAGGCCCCTCGCTGCCCTCCAGATCACACTGGGGTGGCCGAGTTGGCCCCAGTCCCACTGGCTCACGGCACAAGGGCTGAGGGGTTAGGTAGGGCACGGTCTCCCTGCCTGCTCCCCTCCCCTCCCAGGGTGTGAAGAAGCCTTTCACCGAGGTCATCCGTGCCAACATCGGGGACGCACAGGCTATGGGGCAGAGGCCCATCACCTTCCTGCGCCAGGTGAGGCTCGTGCCCGCTGCACCCCTCCACCCCCTGCCCGTGTGCCCTGACCTCAGCACTCCACGTCTTCCCAGGTCCTGGCTCTCTGTGTCAACCCCGATCTTCTGACCAGCCCCAGCTTCCCTGACGATGCCAAAAAGAGGGCGGAGCGCATCCTGCAGGCGTGTGGGGGCCACAGCCTGGGTGAGAGCCAGGGCCAGGAGGAAGCAGAGGGCGGCCCTGCCGCTGGAGGAGGGAAGTCCCTTGGCAGGGCTGAGAACTTCACCTGTACCTCCCATCCTGTCCTGCCCGAGTCCAGGGGCCTACAGCGTCAGCTCTGGCATCCAGCTGATCCGGGAGGACGTGGCGAAGTACATTGAGAGGCGCGACGGAGGCATCCCTGCGGACCCCAACAATGTCTTCCTGTCCACAGGGGCCAGCGACGCCATCGTGGTAGGCTGGGCATGCGCAGGAAGTTATTCCTGACACTGCAGAGGGGGTGCCCAGGGTGGGGGACAGGTGCAGCCCCAGGCCCTGCCAACTCTGCCTTCCCCTTCCTTCTTGCAGACGGTGCTGAAGCTGCTGGTGGCTGGCGAGGGCCACACACGCACAGGTGTGCTCATTCCCATCCCCCAGTACCCACTCTACTCGGCCACACTGGCAGAGCTGGGCGCAGTGCAGGTGGATTACTACCTGGACGAGGAACGCGCCTGGGCGTTGGACGTGTCCGAGCTTCACCGTGCACTGTGTCAGGCGCGTGGCCACTGCCACCCTCGTGCGCTGTGTGTCATCAACCCTGGCAACCCCACTGGTGCGTTCCCGCCGCCCCACCCCACTCCTCCGGCACCCTTGTGCGCCCTAGCCCAGGCAGTGCCAGGTCTGCCATCCCCCGGCTGCCCAGTGGAGGGCAGTGCGCCCCCTTGGCTCACCCAGCCCTGCTGCCTCCCCCACACCCCAGGGCAGGTGCAGACCCGCGAGTGCATCGAGGCTGTGATCCGCTTCGCCTTCGAAGAGCGGCTCTTTCTGCTGGCGGACGAGGTGCGTGGCGCAGGGGAGCGGGAAGCCGGGCAACAGCCAGCCCCCGTGACGCCTTGCGCCTTTCCAGGTGTATCAGGACAACGTGTACGCTGCGGGCTCCCAGTTCCACTCATTCAAGAAGGTGCTCATGGAGATGGGGCCACCCTATGCCGGGCAGCAGGAGCTCGCCTCCTTCCACTCCACCTCCAAGGGCTACATGGGCGAGTGCGTGCAGGCGAGGCGGGTGGGGGCTCGCGGGCTATGGCCTGGCCCTCCTCGCCCAGTGGGCCAACTCCTCCGCACCTGGCCTGGACGTGCCCCTCACCTGGCAGGTGCGGGTTCCGCGGCGGCTATGTGGAGGTGGTGAACATGGACGCCGAAGTGCAGCAGCAGATGCTGAAGCTGATGAGTGTGCGGCTGTGCCCACCGGTGCCAGGCCAGGCCCTGCTGGACCTGGTGGTCAGCCCGCCCGCGCCCACTGACCCCTCCTTCGCGCAGTTCCAGGCTGTGAGTTGGGGGCAGAAGGGGGTGCAGGTAACCTAATCGGGGGTGGGGGATGCTGAGTGCCGTGCCCTCATGGGCCCTCCCTCCCTCCGTGGCCACAGGAGAGGCAGGCAGTGCTGGTGGAGCTGGCAGCCAAAGCCAAGCTCACTGAGCAGGTCTTCAACGAGGCTCCCGGCATCAGCTGCAACCCAGTGCAGGGCGCCATGTACTCCTTCCCGCGTGTGCAGCTGCCCCCGCGGGCAGTGGAGTGTGCTCAGGTCAGGCGGGGGCGGGGCTGCGGGGTGGGCAGTGGTGGCCAGGCATCTCTCCCTGATGACTGCCTGTTCACAGGAGCTGGGCCTGGCCCCCGACATGTTCTTCTGCCTGCGCCTCCTGGAGGAGACCGGCATCTGCGTGGTGCCTGGGAGCGGCTTTGGGCAGCGGGAAGGCACCTACCACTTCCGGTGAGGCCCGGCCCTCACTGCCTGTCCCGCCACCTTGGCCCTTCACTCACTGTCAACTCCTTTCAGGATGACCATTCTGCCCCCCTTGGAGAAACTGCGGCTGCTGCTGGAGAAGCTGAGCAGATTTCATGCCAAATTCACCCTTGAGTACTCCTGAGCCCAGCCGGGGCCAGGCTGGGCGCCCCGGACTGTGTGCTCAGGGGCCCTGGGGGCTCTGGAGCCCACTGTACTTGCTCTTGCTGCCTGGTGGGCGGGGGCGGGGGCTGGGCCCCTGCCTCTCTGCAGGTCTCTAATAAAGCTGTGTGGCAGTCTGACTCCAGGGAGGAAGCGCTGGCAGCTGCGTGGTCTGCTCCCACTTGCCTACCCTTCTTGCAAGCCTGAGTCCCTTCAGAGAAAGGGCCTTCCACGACCAGCACCCACTTGTTCCTCCTGAAGACCCGGTGCCCACTATGGGCTAGGTCTTCCCCGTGGCCTCTCGCTGTGGGGCAGAGCCCGTCACGATCACACAGAAATGGGCTGAGAGTCCGGAGTGTGAGGAAAGCACAGGCCCACACCCCTTTGTGGAAGCCCCCAGAGCTGTTGGGGTGGGGATGGGGCTTGACAAATAATCTAGGGAACCAGGGGCCCAGTTGGCCACCCAAAGAAACAGCCTTTCCTGAAGAAGGTGCAGAAAGCTGTCTCCTTCCTGGCTCCCTTCCCTGTGAGGTCCACGTCTTCCCTGGGGCAGGGAGAAATACTAAACCAGCATGGCGCTGGCTGGTTGGGGTGACTGACAGCTCAGGGAGGAAGTCTTGGTTCTCTTACCCGAGGTAGTAGGGGTGGGGCCACTGTCTGGGGGGCCAGAGAGACCACCTTTGGTGTCAGTGTGTGGTACAGTCCTTCAGATGGGTGGAGTGGGAGGCAGAGGGAGAGAATGAGGGAGTGTCCCAGGGGAGGGCTGGGGCTGGGCTGAGGGGGGTGGGCAGTTATGTGTCCTGGCCTGGGGAGCATGGCTGAGCACCTACTACATGCAGACACTGCTGTGGGTCACTCCATCTGCACAGATGGTCTTCTGAACTAGACATGATAGCCCCCATTTGATAAACAAGGAAACCTGGAAACAAAAACCTGCTGAGCTGACAAGAAACCCCCTCAGAGGCCACAGCAGCCAGAAAAATGCATTGGGTCCAGTGCCCTCAAGTCCACCAAGGACGGGACTGGCTTTAGAGACTTGCAGACTTGGAAATAGGACTGGCCAAGGGCACCTGGTTTTGTTCGCTCTGGAGATGGTTCTTAACCACAAGCTATACTTCACAGCCTCATCTGGGCCTCAGGAGCCCCTGAGGGCACAGCTCCGGACAGGAGACACAGCAGGTGGGCCCCTCCCTCGGCAGGGCGGGCTCGAATCAGGCAGGGCGCTCCTAGCCTTGTCACCGGACACTGAAGGGCATCAAGGGCAGTGGCAGGCCATGTCCTTCTGAGTTAAGCTGGGTTCTGACCTTTCACACTACCCTCCTAACTTCCATGGGTCTGTCACTGCCTTAGGGAGGGGCTGAAGCCACAGACACAACAAGGTTGGGGTCTGACGACAGAACCCTTAAGAAACGGACGCCTTCACGGGGGCGGCTGGAGAAGCGGGGGCCGGGCACTGCAGCAACCAGGCTGCAGGTCAGACACCAGGAAGGAAGCAGGCCTGGCGCGGATCCGAGACTCCTGGGAGAGACTAGGGCTGGCCGTGGGCGCAGGCCGATCCTTACATTCGAGGCCGGCCCTGCTCTCTAGCTTCCCTTTCTGGGCCTCTCACCAGCGCAGGACTTCGCTGGGAGTGTGCACGTGGCGGGGCGGCCGCAGGCACTAGCCCGGACTGGTCACCAGGGGCGCCAGCGAGCTGACGCTCTGGCCCGCTCCGGTCTCTGTGGCTCGCGCGACCTTCCGGCTCTGGAGTCGGTGGCCGCGGGGCTCCAGCGACACCATGTGGCCCGTGCTCCGCTGTGTGGCTCTAGGCGGCCGAGAAACTGCTGAGAGTCCGGCCCGGCCGACGGTGAGGGCCCCGGGAGGCAGCGGCCCAGCCCCGTTTACCTGCGACCGCGCAGAGCATGATGGGAACCGCGGGGGGGGGGGCAGTGATCCCGCCCCCTTACCTGCGGTCTCGCAGAGCATGCTGGGAGCCCCGGGAGGCAGTGACCCCGCCCCCTTTCCTGAGGCCGCGTAGAGCATGCCGGGAGCTGGTGTCCAGACCGCTCGCCTCTGTTTGGACCCGACTTCGGTTCTTCTGGGGTGTTAATGCTCCTAAAGCCCGATCGCACGTGTGCAGACCCCAGCCTGTACGACGCTGACTCCGCCCGGTCCCAGAACCAAAGCCATGCTGGGGTGTGGCCTCTGACCCAACGCGGAGAGGACCTCGCTTTGCGGGACCCCACCTGGAACCCGACCTCCCGGCCTCGCAGTCGGTCGGAGCCGCCATGCATGGGAAGTTGCTGCCGCTGGCCGGCCTCTACCTGGTGCAGGGCCTGCCCTACGGGCTCCAGTCCGGCCTCCTGCCCGTGCTGCTGCGCGCCGGCGGCCTCTCCCTGACGCACGTGGGGCTGGCCAAGGTTCTCTACATTCCGTGGCTGCTCAAGCTGGCGTGGGCCCCGCTGGTGGACGCGCAGGGTTCGGTGAGGGCCTGGCTGACGCGCAGCACGGCAGGCTTGGGCCTGGTGTGTGGGCTCCTTGCCGGGCTGCCCCCGCCTGGAGCTGGCCAGGCTGGGCTGCCCGCCGCAGTGGCGGGGTTGCTGCTGTTGCTGAACCTGGGTGCCGCTGTGCAGGATGTGGCCCTGGACGCGCTGGCTGTGCAGCTGCTGGAGCCGGCCGAGCTGGGGCCGGGCAACACCGTGCAGGTGGTCGCCTACAAGCTGGGGGCCGCGCTAGCCGGAGGCGCGCTGCTGGCGCTGCAGCCCACTCTCTCGTGGCCGCAACTCTTTCTGCTCCTGGCTGCCACCTACTGGCTGGCCGCGGCCCTGGCCTGGGCTGCACCAGCCCTGCGGCGGCTCCCACAGCCGGCCCCGTCTGAGCAGCGTCCCCACACCGCGCACCTTCTGCGGGACGTGCTGGCTGTGCCGGGGACCCTGTGGACGGCAGGCTTTGTGCTCACCTACAAGCTGGGTGAGTGAGGCCTCGAGGCGCAGGCAACAGCAGAGGTGGGGCTTCCGGGACAGCTCCAGGTGTGTCCCCAGCGCTTGCAACCCATTACAGGGCCACTCTTTGGGTATGACCTGCAGGACTTGGCCCTGACATCCGGGGCTCTGCAGCTGGACCTTGCTGTCTTGTCCTCCCCCAGCTCTAGCCACATCCCTGAGCTCTCTCGGGCTGCCCCACTTCTCCCCCCAGCACCTGCAACTCTGGAACACTGAGGAGACCAGGGCAGGACTGAGGCCCCAGGTGGGGAGAAGGGAGGTGGGGGCAGATATGGAACCTCCTGTGCTCATGCCCCCTCTCCGCAACCCAAGGTGAGCAGGGCGCCAGCAGCCTGTTTCCTCTTCTCCTGCTGGACCATGGTGTTTCTGCCCCTGAGCTGGGACTGTGGAATGGCGTGGGTGCTGTGGTCTGCTCCATCGCTGGCTCCTCCCTGGGTGGGACCTTGCTGGCCAAGCGCTGGTGAGCCCTCCCCAGTGTGCCCTGCCCACCCACTTGTACCCAAGCTGCCCCCAATTCCTATACTGCCCAATTTCCCACCCCACCCCAGGGAACTGCTGCCTCTGTTGAGGTCAGTGCTGCGGCTCCGCTTCGGGGGCCTAGCCTGCCAGACTGCCTTGGTCTTCCACCTGGACACCCTGGGGGCCAGCATGGGCCCTGGCACAATCTTGAGAGGTGAGAGGCTGGCTTTGAGGAGGGAGGAAAAGAGGGGCCAGGAGCCTGGGGCACTGCTGACCTCTGCCCTCCCAGGGTCAGCCTTGCTGAGCCTATGTCTGCAGCACTTCTTGGGAGGCCTGGTCACCACAGTCACCTTCACTGGGATGATGCATTGCAGCCAGCTGGCCCCCAGGGCCCTGCAGGTGAGGAGACATTGCAGGGACACAGAGGGACTGCAGGGCTGGGGCTGTGTGGGCCTTACTCTGACCCTGACCCCCACCCCCTCAGGCCACACACTACAGCCTTCTGGCCACTCTGGAGCTACTGGGGAAGCTGCTGCTGGGCACTCTGGCTGGAGGCCTGGCCGACGGGCTGGGGCCACATCCCTGCTTCTTCCTCCTGCTCATCCTCTCTGCCTTGCCCGTTCTGTACCTGGGCTTGGCACCCAGCACCTTTCTCTGAGCTGGGTGGCTGGACTGGTCAATAAAGCCACGTGTGCCTAGAATATGTGATGCGCTTGTCCCCAGGTTGTGGGGGCTGCCTCATTGGCCAGGAGGGCCCATAAAAACAATGTGAGCACTTTATATTCTGCATTTTGGAGTCTCCTCGTCCTCACACCCTGTAACAGGTTTTGCCCAGGGCCTCAGTCACTGCCCTAGCCACTGACAACCCCAGCTCTACCCGACATCCCCCAACGCAGTGCAATCAGCAGGCCACCCGCAGGAGCTCTTCTGTGGCCAGGCGCACCAGGGCGTGGAAGCTCAGATTCAGGTATTTTCTCCAGAAGCGCCGGTCCTGCCCGTACACCTGGGCTGGGTAGCAGGGGCTTCCTACGGTGCAGTCAAGACAGCCATGAGCCCCAGCCCCAGCCTGCATGGGAGGCGTCCCAGGCCTCACCTGCCCCAGCCCCAGCTCCAGCCTGCATTGGGTGGAGCCTCCTAGGCCTCACCGATGCCGTGGAAGATGCGGGCCACAGCCCTGCCCGAGAACTTCTCCTCTGGCCTCAGGGACAGAAACTGGCGGATGTCGCAGCGGACCTGGTCCTCCCAATCCTGGAGCTGTGTGGACAGGCACATCAGGCTTGCTCTGAGCTACCGTGGCACTGCATCCACACAGCAAGCCCCATGCAGCCCAAGGAACGTGCAACCCTGATGTGCTTCCTGGCCTTACTGTACTCACTCTGGCCTGCCCTGGCTCAGGGCCCTGTGTGTCCTCCATGTCTCCCGGCCCCTGAGCTTCCTCTTCCACTTCCTCAAAGTAGCGGCCGAGCAGGTCCTTGAGCCTGGTACTGCGCTCCTCATCCTGCTGCTCCAGGCAGGGCCCACAGCTGGGGAAGGCTATGCTGTGGGGAGGAGCCCGTCAGAGCTGATCACTGCGGGAGGGTGGATGGTCCCAGGCCCTGCCCGCCTCCTCCCAACCTGTGAAAGGCCTGAAAGGTTCTGCGCAGAAGGGCCAGGGCCTGGCGCTCCCGGGCCTGCACACGGCCATAGAGGAAGTCACAGATCTGGTCCTTCTCCTCAGCGGTCAGGTCTCCTAGGCTGCGAAGGTGGAAGGCCAGCTCCCTGAACTCCACAAGCACCCCTGTCCTGCGCCGCACACCTGCCGGAAAGCATGTCAGATGCAGGCAGGCAGCATCCAGGGCTGGGTGGGGTGGGGTGGGGCGCACCTGTCCTGGGTTCATGGTCCCACTGCAGCTGGCAGAGCGCCCGCCGCACAGAGGCCAGCTCCCAGCCCATGGAGTCCACCAGCTTGACCATATCGAACTCCACAGAGCTGCTGCCTTGCCCTGGGTCCTCAGGCAGCCGCTGGGCCAAGCACACAGCCAAAGGTGGACACCTGTGCCCAGGGAAAAGGAAACATGTGGCCAACAGCCCTGATTCTCCAACCTTGTCTCCAACTCAGGGCAGGGCGTGCTCACCTGTGGGCCAGGGCCTGGAGCTGGGCAGGGCCCCCAGGGCAGCTCAGACGGCAGCGGATATAGGTGGTCGCCAGCAGCTCCAGCCAGTGGCGTGGGTGCAGCTCCAGGTAGCACAGCAAAGTCTCGATGGCTGTGGGCAGAGCAGGGCTCAGGGGACGTGGGCACAGCCCATCCACACCCATGGCTTACCCCCAGGTTCCTCACCCTCCTCTGCCATGTCCAGAGCCTGCACGGTAAGCTGTACTGGGAGTGCCCGCTCATGGCCCACGCAGGTCCTTCTGGGTCCTGGGGCTGCTTGGTGGACACCAAGCTGCTCAGCCTCTTGAGAGGAATACTTGGGCACAGGTCTTGCTCCACCCATGGTCCCTTCCTGCTCTGGGGACGGCCTGGTGCAGGTGCAGGCTGGGAACACGCGCTGCACCAGCCTCTTCACGGCCAGGAAGTCTGTGCCGTTGGCGTGCACATGTCTGCGGAGCTCTCGCAGGTCTTCACCCTGCGGGACGACTATCATGAGGGTGGGGTGGGGCACTGGGGGCTTGAGCACTGGCAGTTGGGGGGGTGCCAACCTGGGGCTGCAGGAAGAGGTGGCAGTGGGCAGGCTGCCCGTCACGCCCGGCCCGGCCCACGGCCTGCACGTAGCTCTCGAAGCTTGGGGGCAGCCCCAGATGCAGCACAGCCCGCACATCTGGCCGGTCCAGCCCCATCCCGAAGGCCACCGTGGCCACCACCACCCGCAACTGGCCCTGCATGAAGGCCCGCTGTACCCGCTGCCGTTCCCGGCCGCACATGCCCGCGTGGTAGGCCTCGGCCGTGGTTTTGGGGGCACGACCTTTGGGGAAGACAGGCAGATAATCAGTGGGAGGGGCCATGTGTGCCCAAGGTGGGTCCACCGGGATACCAGCCCTGTCTGTGCCTCACCTCCAGGCCCTGGGCCCTGGGCTGCATGCAGGCAGGTTCGGAGAAGCGCAGCGATCCGCTCCGTGTCTTCGCGCCGGTTGCAGTAAATGATAATGGAATCCAGGTTTCGAAAACGTTCGCCTTGCAGCAGTGTCAACAGTGCCTGAGGAGGAGTGGTCGGCATGGGCAGTGGGGGGTGAGGAGAGGTCGGCATGGGCCGTGGGGGGTGAGGAGAGGTCGGCATGGGCCGTGGGGGGTGAGGAGGTCAGCATGGGCCGTGGGGGGTGAGGAGAGGTCAGCGTGGGCCGGGGGGGTCGAGGAGAGGGCCGTGGGGGGTGAGGAGAGGTCGGCGTGGGCCGTGGGGGGTGAGCAGAGGTCGGCGTGGGCCGTGGGGGGTGAGGAGAGGTCGACGTGGGCCGTGGGGGATGAGGAGAGGTCGGCGTGGGCCGTGGGGGATGAGAGGTCGGCATGGGCTGTGGGGGGTGAGGAGCCGTCAGTGTGGGCAGTCGGGAGCCAGGGCCCTGCAGGGTCCCCAGAGCTCACACTCCCACCTGGTCTGTGTCCCTGTCCATGGACACGGAAAGATGCAGGTTGGCGGGAACTGGGGCTGGCCCATGGAGGCCAGGCTCTTCATCCACAGCCAGGTGCTGTGCCACGTCACTGGCAGTGCGGCGTGTGGCTGTGGCTGTGAGACCCAGGAAGCAGTGCACGCCCATGTGCTCCCGTAGCACCTGCACCAGAGGCGGTGGTGGCGTGAGGCCATCCAGCCCATCCTGGCCCTAGCCGCCCACCCCAGTTCACATATGGCTCACCCTGCAGACGCGCAGGTAGCAGGGCCGGAAGTTGTGGGACCACTGGGAGAGGCAGTGGACCTCATCAATGCAGGCAAAAGCAACTGGAGGCAGCTGTGTGGCTGGAGGGAGGCCTCCTGCCCCCACTAGTGCCTCGGGTGTCAGCATCAGCACGTGTACCTGGGCTGCCCGAACCTGAAGGCAGCAAGATCAGAGGCACAGCCCAGGCACTGCCTCCCTCACCCCTAGGCCCATGAGGCCCCCACCTTCTGCAGGACAGACTCCCGTTGCTTCCTGGTCATGCCCGAGTGTATGCAAGCTGCTTTGAGACACGGTGGCAGGCCAGACACCTGCAAATGCAGGAGCAACGGCTGTTATAGGCCAGCCCGGCCCTGGCCCTTCCCCAGGTCATCCCAGAGCTGCTGCCATGTCCATCCTAGGCCCTCAAGGGAGAGGAGAACCAGGTCCTGGGTCCTAGGGCCAAGGGTTTAGAGCCACCTGTGGGCCTTGGCCCAGGAGCCCTGGAGCAGACAGACTCAGTGGGGAGGGCTCCCTTCCCAGCACAGCTCCTGTAGGGGTGGCCGTGGTGCCTGTGGAGCTGGGCTGCCTTCGACCTACTGCCAGGACTGGGACTGAAGCCACAGACACTTTGAAGCTCCCATGGGAGGGGGCGGTTAGGGGAGAAGCAGCAGTTGCCCTTGGGAGTCACAAGTGCTGGTTCTTGACTGTGTACATGTGCCCAGGGCCCTGTGTGCACACCTGGTCGTCCATGAGTGACAGCAGGGGAGAGATGACCAACGTGAGGCAGGGGCTGCGCCGGGCATAGAGCAGCGCCGGGAGCTGGTAGCACAGGGACTTGCCGGCACCTGTAGGCAGCACCAGCAGCGTGGAGATGCCTGTGTGGGGCGCAAGTCAGCAGCGGGGTTCTGCAGCCTGGCCTCAGCCCGGCCTCAGCCCCAGCAGCCACGCTCACCAGACAGGATCCGCATGACTGCACGCTCCTGCCCAGGACGGAAGGCTTGGTGTCCCAGCTGCTCCAGGGCCTGGAACACCTCAGCCGGCGTCTCTGCAGACACAGGTGTTGACCACCATGACTTAAGTCACACCAACCCCTCAATAAAGGCTCTGGGCCAGCAGCTGACTGCTTACCTGCCAGCTGCCCTGAGGGCCCCAGGGAGTAGAGTGGCAGCATGGTGGAGGGCAGGCTGGGCACCCCCTGCACAGGTTGTGGTGCAGGAACCAGCAGCTCAGGGCCAGCAGGGTCTGTGTCTTCCTCACTTACTGGGGCAGGCAGGAGAAGGTGGAATGGGAGCTCCAAGCAAAACAACCACTGGCCACAACCTTCTTTTCCCCCAAAGGGGTTGGCAGCAGGCAGTGCCCTTCTTGTGTGCTACTTCTTTGAAAGCATAAAAGGTTGACACCCATCCTCGTCCTTGCCACCCTGCTTTGGGGGAGCCAGGGTAGGGCCTGGACCAGGGGCACCTAGAAGGTCTTTTGCTTGGAACAGAAGTATCGCCCAAAAGAGTACCGTGCCCTCTCCACAGTGTTGGCCAGACCCACCCTCCAGGGCAGATGTCCTACCTGGCTGAGGACACTGGGGTGCCCAGTGATCAAACTGTTCATTCAGGAAACAAGACTCCTTGATTTTGACTGTGGCACCACCACCCCCAAAACACTCCCCTTTCTTCCGCCACTTCTGCTTCCATGCCTGAAGGGTGCCCACATAGGAGGGTCACTGGGTGGGACATGCGGGAGTGCTGAGGGAAGGGAAAGGGAGGGCCTGTCCCAGTCCGTCACTGTCTTACCTGCTTGCGGAGGAGCCTGCCACGGAGTGCCCGGCCCTGCACGTAGCGTTTCTGCTTCATGTTGAGCCGTACGTAATTGCCCCTGTCATGGTGG